GTGCAAAAGTTGCATTTTTCCTAATTAATATAAAATAGTAATGACTATTACATTGTACATATATAGCTTTGTCACTTCTATAGTTCTCCTCATCGATTCGATGCTTATTTATTACCACAATTTATATAAGGATCTTAAAAATCATACATTTTAAATGATTTTGCATATAGTTTTGCAAATACATTAATGCTAGTGGAAAATTTGTAATGAACCAATACAATTCTTTTTTTTTATTATATGAAAAGCAATCTAAACTATTCCCAATTATACTATAAGTTTTGTAATGTATTTTCCTGAAAAGAGTCTAAAATAATATTTATTATTATTGATTACTTGCTTGCTTCTAAATAAAATAAATAAAATTTCAAATACTTAGCTTAATTAGAAAGCAATCCATAAGTATCATTCTTCTGTATGATGAAATATTCACTTTACCTTGCTTGACATCAGAACATCGTAGCTTCGATTCAAAATTTCCTAAAATCAAAATTCAATACTAAAAGTTTGACAATTTTTGCCGTCAAATAAAATGCCAATATCGCATTAACACGGTTAACAAATGTATGTTACTGATAACTGTTATCGAATCAATAGATAAAATGCTTTTCTGTCTTGTATTTATTTTATTAATCCATGTGAACATTAACATAAAATAATGCACAAAAGGATTACATCAAATAAAGTGGTTTTCGTAATTGCTTCAATCAAGTTTTCACACCTACACGATATTGATAATATAGTGAAACAATGTTGAGATATTTTTAGTTGCATTTAATAATTATTTTAAATCATTAGTAATTGAAAACTATTTTTTTAACTTAACGGATTAAAACTTATCGAATGTCAAGGATAACTTTGATGAACATATACCTAAATCCATTTGAAGCTAGTTCGAAATGTTTCTGAACTTTCAACTTTATTGCTGTATTTGTCTTAAATATATAAAAAACAGTAGAAATTTTGTGAAGCAATTGTTTTGGTAGCAAATAATTGAAATCAACCTTGCTGATTAAAATATTATATATACACTTACTTGATAAAATCGATGCTTTGCAAAATTGATTTTAGACGTTGCAATTATAATGTAATAAATAATTTAGCGTTCATGGAGTTATTCTGATAACTCTCTCTTCAGCTCAAATAAAGTTGATATATATCCATAATAAACATACAGTAGTATTTCCTATATATTCCAGTAACCCAGAATTTAGTAATCCGGTTCGGTATGCGATTTGCGGTTTGTTTGGTCATCGGAGCAACCCTCACTGTGGTCATTTTACTGGAAAATACTTATGTATTCAATTATATTTTGAGATAAATTTTATACTGATTTGAACATCTCATTTAAATAATTTCACAGATACAATGATGTATTCAATGATGGTTTCAAATAAATGATTATTAGCAATAAATGAATGTAGATTTTATAGTGATTCCAATAACTCCTTCATATATTTCATTTATATCGCTTTCATGAGTATGTGACTCTAAATTACAATATCTGAACTAAATCCGTACATGCATAATTAAGTTATTTATAAAAAAATATTTTTTAACTTTATATTTTCATATTTGTAACTATGAGTTTATATCCAATAAATATTTCAATAATTCTAGAAGAACTTGTGTCAATTTTCTACTACCTTGCTTTATCAAAAGGCAATCTAATTGTTGTTCTTTCTTTTTATGATAGAATTAGGCATTAGATACTTCTGATAGTGATGTAAAACAAGTTGCAGCAAGTTTTGCCTATATTTTCAAATTAGAACGGACATTACTACTGCTTGATATCAGGTTGTCCGGAACGCAGGTTTGTGTTTGGAATTTTGTGATTAGGAAACCAGGCTCTTCCTACAGCAGTACAAACCTTCCTGATACGTGAAAACCTTACGTGATAAAAGTAGTTAGTCCTAATAATATCTGTATTACTCTATTGTTCCACAACATCTATGTTACTACGTCAACTCTTTCCATTGTACCCGCACAGAATTCCTCTTACTCTCCCGTACAATACTATTCCTATTCGAGCTTGCGACCGAAACGCAAACAAAATGCGATTGACTCCTGAAACAAACATTACGCTACGTATTGCGTCGACAATACGAGTGTTATGATAAGCATACTTGGCCAAAAGCTACCCTGGTTCTACAACATCGGAGACTAATTGAAAATTTTAAGGAAAGTCAATTTGTTAAAAATTCTAAGACTGATGCTTCTTGATTTGTTAGCAATAAGAATTTGCACTGCGTTCTCAATATGGAGTTGGTTGAAAGCGTCAGAAGTTTTAGCAGTGTACATCACTCTCAGAAGTTAGAAGATTACTAGATTCTATAAGACTAAAGAAAACAATCCTAATTAATTGTACCCAAACTTTATAAATTCTTTATGAAAAAGGTGCTCCCATAAGACAATACTCAAGGCATTTAACTTCTCTAGATTTTTGGAGAACTGAGCCGATTTGGTCAATCACTCATTAGAGTGACAACTATTGAAGTACAAAAATTTCACCTTTGTTTGAGTGAATGAATTGAACTAAATAATTCGTAGCACGTTGTATTCTAATTGCTGTTGTGAATACATTTAAATACCATTTTTTCAAAATTTTACTCGTTGAGGATTTCAATTATATCGACCTAGTGAGTGTCATCCTGCAGTGTTTTGGAACATTTGGCCTTACTTCCGATCAGTCTGCTAATTGAATCAGAGACCGAATGAGAGAACTGAGCAGCAGTAATCACAGAGCATTTGAATTGCATCGCAATGTAAACAAATGGCACGCACAACGGCTCCGGCAACGCGGTCGCTTTTGCAATGTGCAATGTGCAATGTGCAATGTAAACCGTATAAACCTTATATGAGCCGGCGGAACGCGGCTCTGCGATAACACGCACAACCCTCGGACTGTAAACATTATGCTACGGAGTAGGTAGCTGCAGCTACGGCGCTTAAATTGCATCTGAATTGTTTCCAAAACCAACTAACGTGTGCTTTGTTTCCATTCCGGATTCAAATTCCGCGCGACGACGAGCTTTGTTTGCTCAGAGTCGAGCTTTAGTGAGCGGAACAACGGGAGGGCAGCTGCCAAAGCTCGAGCGGTAGATGGCTGTATCGGTCTTGCTGGAATAAAAATTCTTCACAGCACTTTTTTAAAAGGTCTATTATAGAGCTTTAGACTATTTGATCATGAACGACTAGAGCAAACGATATTTGCTTTCATAATAGTACCTATATGAGCTTATTAAAATTGAACCTGGTATCAATATTACTATAACAAGTACTTATTATTCAATTTTATTTTTTTATTTTTATTAGGTATACATACTAATTAACATTATGGTCTAAAATTTAAATAGATTGCAAATATCAGAAATTATAAAAGATTATATTATTATCTTTGAGCAGATATGTTTATTATTATTCGTATTGTAAAAATCTTAAAACAATAATTAGTTCAATTAAAATAGTTAAGTAAATAATAAAATAAATGAAATTTAAAAGGTTAAATTCAAACAGAAATGTAATAAATTCGTAAAAGTTTGAATAAAATCGTAAAAGTTTTGATAGAGTTGATGTCGATAATAGAAGTTTTAGTTCCATGAATTCTTTTTTTTTGCAATATTTTTAGTGTTGCGCTAAATTTACTAAAAATACTAAAAATTGTGATGAAGTTTTAATTCGAAAACGTTTATAGTGAGAATTCTCAAAAATTAGAACCTGACCATACTCATGAACAGCTCTCCAAATAATCTGAAGAACTACGGACAAGTTAAAATTATTTTTTCACAATGTAGCGACTGCCCGAAACAAAAAATACTTTTTTACATCTTTTTGTTTGAATCAAAATGTACATAATAAATAGTTAATTATTTATTGCTTTTTATTTCGACTATTTGACTGCATTTAAATATTTCAAGAATCTGTTTTAACGTCGAACAAAAAAAGTTGTATAAAATTATTGTGGTTGAGAATAACAATTCTTGAAATTTTTGACTTAATGCAAGTTCTTCTCGGATTTGCGAATGCGGGCGATGTCTCTTTCGTATATTGATTAATTTTTTGCGTTATATAGGTATACGATTTATATATATGTTATATGCATAGAGCCGCGTCGAAACGATACATTCACGTATACACGCTTACAGATAAATGAAACAGCGACGATAATTGCAAGACAGAGCAGTAATATTCTGCCATGTACATTGCGCACTCACACACATTACATGCCCGAGCTGGAAGACCTTATATCACAGAGCGACTTGACAAAGCCCGCTGCTCCTCACACATGGACGCGGAGACACGTATATCAGAAATTCAACGTGTGACTGCGAGCGAGGGAGACGGGCAAGTTCTCATTCGAGTCGAAACGAAATACACACGAAATCGTATATATACATACAGAACCGGGAGTAGCGCACTGATAACGTGCCGCGTTCTGTCTGACAAAGGTGAAATGAATAGAGCCGCTCTGCTCGCTCGAATCGAGGCGTAGCCCGGTGCGAGCGTCGCGTAGCCGAGCGCCGCCAATGCGCGGCTTCACCCCGGCTCCGTTCCGCCAATCGTGAGCTGCGCCGAACACGCCTTGCTCCTTGCGGATCATTGTTGCGCAAACGTCGCCTCCGCGGACAGAGAAGCCGTGTTTTTATTTATTGCTCTCGCGACCGTGCAGTTGCGTGGTGCAAACTCAGCGAGCGCGTCTCTATCATAACGTTTTAACATTCGAGGCGCTAATGTTATACACCGCGTGTTTTCTTCGTCGCGTTGTCAATTGGTCTCTCTCAAGTGCAGTTCTTCGCCAGTGTTAAAATATATAATTTTGCCAAATGACATTTAACGAAATTAATAGGACAGTGATTCTAATCATAATGATATCATATTGATTCATTGATCTGTGGACATTGTGTGATTTTTACGGAACTTATGAAATTAGTGTGTTGAACTCTGAACAATCTGTTTTCGTGACTTTACAATTTTGTTTCACGTTTTGTGTTTTGTTTATTTTAAATCAAGTTCTTTTTAATACGGCTTCGTCCTGGCCGGTTGTTACGTAACTGTTCGTATGCCGGACATGGACTCGCCGGTTTCCGCTACCGGCAGCGATCATAGCGCCGCTTCCGCTTCATCAGCGGCAAATAACAATAATAACGGCGCCGCTTTGAAGCGCGGATCTTCTACGCCACAGCATTCACCGCAGCCGCTCATAGGTTCAGGCGAAGGTAACGAAAACCATAGTCCGATGATGAGAGCAGGACCTCTTCAGCATGGCCAAAGCGGGATTCAACAACCTGGCTCTAGCCCATTAATGCAGCATGCTGCAGCCATGCAACTAACACCACCGCCGGTATCGACCCCTAATGGCTTGGGCTCTTTAGGCGGTCGTCTTGGACCATCTGCTCTTAGTCACTTACCTCCTCCTGGATTGGGACTTCTAAACTCTCTTCAAATGATGCACCACGCTTCGCCTTTGGAGCTGATGGCGGTTGCTCAGCACCATCACGGTGGACCTCCAAGATCATATAATTCACCTCCGCCAATATCGAGTTCTGATCCGGCGGCCAATGAATGTAAATTGGTAGATTATCGTGGACAAAAAGTTGCTGCGTTTATAATTTCTGGAGAAACAATGCTATGTCTTCCGCAGGCATTCGAATTATTTTTAAAGCATTTAGTAGGTGGTTTACATACAGTATATACAAAATTAAAAAGACTAGACATCGTGCCGCTCGTGTGCAATGTGGAGCAAGTAAGAATTTTAAGAGGACTTGGAGCAATTCAGCCTGGAGTTAACCGTTGCAAACTCCTTAGCTGCAAGGACTTCGATGTGCTTTATCGCGACTGCACAACTGCCAGGTGAGAATTAATGTCGTTTGCTACTTCTAATAAATCTTAAACAACATTGTCAGTTATCTGGTTATGTATAAAAATCAAATTACATATCTCATCAAACGATATCAATACTAATCTAACAAACTAATAACTTAAAAATTAATGGTGTTTAAGATTTTTTAAACTGTGTTATATGTCTATGCTCTTACTGTTGTTTGTTAATGAAAAAATGTATTTTCTCTGATTATCGAGTATTTATTTATCGATAACAATGTTAGAAACAAACCATGCCCATCATTAAACATTTTTTTAAATGCACTATTTTTTTTAAAAAATACTCATTTTTGCCATGTAAATTTTATTCAAATTTGTTAAATTTTTAATCACTATCATGACTTCAGTATTTCATAGTTTACTGTTATAATTTTTTTCGGATATTACGAACATTTCAAAAATATTCTAGCAGATTCATTATAAATCTTCATTCGCACCTCCTGCGTGGATCATAATTGTAAAATTCATATTCAACTATCAATCAAGATTACATTACGTTAAGTTGTGATATGTTATTATATTTCTGTGGGCAATGATTATTATACACATATATTCTCATAAAATAATTATGATTAATAATTCTGAATCTAAAATAGAAATAATTCGCTATATATTCGATATTCATAATTTACGTAATGATCAAATCATGAAATCGTGATGTTACATTAATGGTTGGATATGCCCGGCAACAAAGTGTAACAGAAAATTATATGGTGTGTTAAATTGAAATTATATATCAGTTCATTATTTTTAAAAAGGTAAAAAAATTTTGATGTATAGCCAATGTATAAATGAATTGTTCGATTGTTACAACAAAGTTGCAAATGAATATTAATAGACAATATGGATTATATGAATAAAATTCGTATGGAACTGATACAATTAGGATAATTAGGATGATAACATTAGTTCTTGTAACATAATTTAGTAATTCACTTTCGACACTTGGATCAAAATGTTGAATGAAATTTTGCATTCAATGACAATCAATTCAACCAGCCTAATGATGACACAATACATATTTTTTTAAATAATTTAAACCTATTCGATTAATAAATTTCCAATATTCTACTTCCAATGTACCACTAAGCTTTATCATAGTTGATCGTTGCGACCGAGTGACCCAATTTTGCGGATTTTGGGGTCGGCGACCCATCCCCAATGAATGTTATTTCAGCTCCCTCAATTCGGGGTCCCCCATAAAATCGAGCACGGTGCGTCTGCTCTGCCCCGGTCTCTGCCGAGTGTCTCTTCGACAAAGTGCGTAAAAGCCTGCACGACCAGTGTAATTACTAAATCGTTCACGGCCACTCGTATGAAAACTGTGAAAAATATGGATTGGATAGAGAATTATGGACTTAAATGTTTATGACATGTATTTTCGAAGTTTGAAATGGCAAATAATAAAAATATTAAAAATGAATAGAATCATTACTGCTCTCTATTGTGGTGAAAAATTGAAAATAATAAGATAAATTTGAAAAATCTTAGCGAACGTTAACGAAAAGCAAAGGATCTGTATACATCGATTCTTCTATTAGCACCAAATTATATTCCAAATTGGTTGATACATAAAGACACGGGTACTAGCACAGTCAATGATGAAATAAGCACTCTCTCGCATCACTACAAAAGCCGTCTAGGGGATCATCTAAGCAACTCCTCTTCTGCAATTTTTTCACCTCTGTGCCTACCGGCGTGCGACTCATATTCAAAAATGTTTCTAAATATTAAAATATAACCTGCGAACCCGTGTAATCAGTGATAACGCTTAATTTGACGCTAGGGGTCGCGTTCTTTTTGAGATTTCGAAAAAAGCGCCCGCCCGCTGCTCGAATCGCGGCACGCAACTCCGCGTCTACACACGGACACTCCATTCAATCAATTAACGCGGCCCGTGCGTAAATGTGCGTGCGACCGTGCAACGACCAACAGGATGAAATAATAGCATCGAGGTGGAGAAAAATCACAAATAAATCGGGGATAAGGGATAAAATTTGGATTGAAAAAAAAAACAATTTTGTACGGATCTAAAATTAATATTTGTATATATGGCTATATACTTGACGTGAAAAATGGCTGTATGATAAAATAAAAATTAAGTCAGAAAATTTTTTGCATACAGCCCTTTTAATCATGAATAATTCTGCAAATATCCTCAAAGCTTGGATGATTATAGATGCTGTTTATTTGAACCAATAATTATTCTAAAACACTTCAATTGTAATATTAATTACAGTTGTGATATTAATTATGAGTTAATTTTTAATAAAAATACGAATTATATTTGTATTTATAACATATTCAAAATTTGAATGTATTGTATTGGTTGATTTATTTTGTAATGATTATTGATTAGATTTCTTTTGTTTTTTGATAATATAGGATATTTTGGTTAGTAAGTAAATTATTAATAAAATTCGACAAATATTACCATTTTGTAACATCTATGTAATATTTTTCATATCAATCACAACAGTTCCATTTTGCCAGTTATAGCAACGAAATGAACGAACATTCGTGCGTTAAATAAAAAATAAAAAATCAAAGAAATACAATGGAAACGTAAACGCAACATGCGATTTGTGTAAATGCGAAATCGATACAGAGTATGCATATGGGAATACGCAGCCGAGAATTATTAAGAAAATTATTTGCAAATTGACCAATCGCCTTTGGTTACGAGTTTTTGTTCGCGCATGAGTTTATATAAATGCCCAGATCAAACGTTTCAAAGTTTGAAGAAATAATTACTTGAAGTACGATTCGTACAATGCAAGATTTTGATGTTTTTCACACTAAATCATCTAATAGTAGTTATTACTTAATGATTTAGCGTGCAAAATTACAGATTCACTTCAATTATTGACATGGAGCGACTTAAGATGTTTATTTTGTAGAACGAATTCTCAAGGGAGCAAACAATAAAAAACGAACATCAAATTATTCATAACTTAAAATAATTAATATCACGTATGGATTGAGATGTGTAAATTTTGACGTTGTCAGAAATCAAAAACAAAATAAATATGTATTAATCACTAAAAAAAACCTGCAAAATTCTGAATTATTAAAATACCGACCATTTTCCATCGCGATGGGTAAATTATGCACCTTGGCCATGTACATACTGATGTGGAAGGTGATGTACGAAGTTTTCCACGTATTACTGAGCGACAATGCTCTGAACGTCCCATAACATGATAATTCCGGAATTGAGAACTAACGGCAGCCCGATTGCTCAATAATAATTCATTTCGGTTATTTCATCCAAGCAAGAGCAACACGAAGGAACTGAATACAAATACGAGCCTCGAGGGGACATTCCATTGCCAATAAATGCAGCCAATACATTCGATACGAAGAAATATGAAATGCAAACCTTTCGATTCGACATCATTAAAGTTAGAAAGAGCTCTGCCGCTTATAAAGTCACTCTGGAAATGATTTTCCATCACGAATCACAAAATGGAAGAAACGCGGATGTTGTGCAGGAGATGTATAATTCTTGACTATTACTATTGCAAGTACTATTGATAGTACAAGAAACATTGTATCCATAACCACCACTTACTGTATGCCATGATCATTTTGAAATCAATACTTCGAGAGAAGAATCCGAACTGTATTTTCCCTGTGAGCATGATGGCTTCGTACAAGTCATAAAATCAGATAATAAAATGGTTTGAAGAAAAATATGTAGTTGATGAATTATTTTAGTTTGTATACTATACAAACTATATTAGCAATTAATAATTAGGTAGGTTTAAAACTCCATAATTTTCAACCAAATTAATAAGAACAATTTTTTTTTTGCAATAGAGGCTTTGTAAATTTAACGTCAAATTACACATAAATATTAAAATAACTTCTTGTTTCAATATATTTCTATATACAAATAGATTAAAAAATCCAGTGCAAGAAATACCTTAGAAAATTTCTAAGAAATTACCTGTCACTGTTTTTTTGCAGCTTCACAGCTTTTTCTAAGCCCCATATGCAAGTTTCAGAATATAAATATTACAAAATATTATTTAAATTCTTATTTAGTGTTTATTATATAAATGTATAAAGTTGATAAGTATCTTTGTTCTTTAAAAAATATACATCAAAGATTATTCACAAACCAATTTTTCAGCTAGAAAAGTGGTGATAGTTTCCCTGTCGATCATATAAAAAAATAATATTTTTCAAATACGCCTTATTATGACCTTATCAGGTTGGATTGTAATATTCAATTCAGCAAAGCAGTTCCATTTATCTAATGCAAATAAAATTAATAAAATCAATACTACACGCTATTCATATCGTATATTAAACATTCTCGCACAAGTGCTTCCATTAAAAGATAAAAACCCTAACTGACTGGATTCATTTTTTCGAGGTTTTTACTCGAATTAACACAAAACAGTGAAAATGTTATTATTATCGCATATCGATATCAAATCGTTATCGAAACAAAACGCAACTGACGTCGTGGGATATGGAACATGTGCTGGACGCAAACAGACGTTTATTAAAATAATATTAGCATTCGAATAATAACAATAATCGTTGTGATATCATCTAGTTTATTTTCTAATAAGCGCTGGGTAAATATTAGGAGTTTTTTCCACGTTGCGTCATATCGATTTTCGCTTAAAACGCGATAGTAGTAATCGAAATAAAATGTGTGCGATTTTGGCTGCTTTTACTAAAAAATGAATTAGTCGGTATAAATGATAAAACTCAAGTTTTAAAATTAAATTAAAAGATATAAAAAAAAATTGAATAAATAAAACAAAAATTGAAAATGTTTCTGTAAAAATATTTTGGGCATTCTCAATTTCATTCAATGATTGCATTGAATATACATTTTTGAGAAAATTAGGGAGAAACTAGCAGAAATTAGAAGTGCTAACTGCTTTAACGAGTAGATCAGATGGTATAAAAAGTGCCAAATAATTTTGGAAGATCTATAAATAAATTTG